ACCTGCTATCCTGAGCGATTTTCCTCGGTACTATCCTTTCAGTTTTCAGAAGTGGGATTCCCACTCACTTCCCGCCTCAAAGAGGGCTGAGAGAATCTTCGGGCCGTATGGTAAAGACCCGCAGAAATTTAGCCATGGAGAAAGCTAAATTCGAGGGCCTCTCCCTGGAACAATTGAAGGAAGAGGCAAATAAATACGGTTTGGCCGTTACGGGTGACCGGGACGCGCTAATCCAAAACATCATGCGTCACCTCGAGAAACAGGGGCCGCATGACTTGCAAGATGAGGCAGCCAAAGCTTCGACGACCGGTAAACCAAGGAAAGGTTCGACCGGCTCCGTCGAGCAAGTTCCGGCGGTCCTGCTGCAACAAGTGCTGCAGTCCGTACAGGGGATGCTGGAGCAGGCCGAAAGAAAGAGGGAACAGGCTGAAAAAAGGCAGCAAGAGCAGTTCGAGAGGCAGAGAGCGGCTCAACAGGAGCAATTCGAACGGTTGATGCTGTTAGCGCTGAATAATACAAACCAGACCAGAAGAGACGAACCCCCGGAAGCCGCGCGGACGGAGCCAGGAACGACCCCGATAGGCAGCCCGTTGGCGGCCCAAAGTTCCGGAAGCAGTCTACCGATGGGAAGTCTGGTGAACTACCTTTCGCAGCAGATACCGGAGTTCGCAGGAGGAGAGGATGACAACGTCCAAGCTTGGGCGAATCGGGTGGACAAGGTCGCCCAAGTTCACGGAGCGTCGGACGGGGCCACGCTCCTGGCAGCCTCGAGCAGGCTGACCAAATCCGCTCGTAGATGGTACGAGCTCCAGACGGGAGCAGCCATAGAGTCCTGGGTTGGACTGCGCCTAGAAATGAAGAAGATGTTTGAGAGGAAGGTACCGTTCTACAAGTCTATGCAGAAGATCGAAGCCCGGAAGTGGCAGCCGGGCAAAGAATCATTCGACAGATACGCCATAGAGAAGTTAGCACTCATCCAAGTGCTCAACTTACCGGAGGAGGACAGTATTCAGCTCCTGATTGGCGGTATCACGAACAGCGCGGTAAAGGCGACAGCGCTGTCCATGGCCACAGACCCGCTAAACCGCTTCCTGGAGAGGATGAGAGTCATCGCGGAAGGGGTAGTGGACACGGAGCGGAAGTCGACGCCGCCTGGATCGAGCGCTAAGTCCAAGGAGGCTCCCTGCAGGAACTGCGGAGGCAAGGGCCATCAGACAAAGGACTGCCAAGCCGAGCAAACCTGTTTTTATTGTAAGAAGAAAGGGCACAGGAGGTTCGAGTGCCCGGTCCTCAAACGCAAAGACGAGAAGCCAGGGACTCCGACCTCAACGACCAAGGCAGCGGCGAGCGTGTCGCAGGAGCCGGAGCCGGCCGCAGAGGTGGTGGCATCGGTGGATCGCCCCGAGTGCAACCTGGAAATCAACGACCCGTTAGTACCAATAGACAGCATAAACGGTGAGCGTTGCAAATTATTAGCTCTCATTGATACTGGAAGTCCAGTTTCGTTCGCGAAATTGAGCGTTTATGAAAAATATGTGAAACCGCGAGAAATAAAGTTATCGCCGGTAAAAACGAGATTACGAAATTTAAGCGATCAAACGTTAGAGATAGTTGGAACGGCGAAGGTCAAGTTGAGTTTAGAACAAATCGCAAACAAAGAACTTTCGGTAAATTTACATGTCCTCAAAGATAATAAGTTCGAAGGGGACATTATTTTGGGAAGAGAATTCTTGCAGCAACAGAAACTCACCTTGATTTTCAAACCGTCGAGCCAAGGTGAGAAGGAGAGCGTTAGGTTGTTTGCCCAATTGCCTTTGTATGTCGAGTCGAAGTTTCCAGAGGCCTTAGAGGAAATACTGGAAAATAAAGTCCGCGATTTAGAAAACGGAGATAGGCAACGGTTGAAGGACATAATAATAGGCGTCCACAAAACAGAGTACGTACCGGTAGAGGACGACTACGAAGTTCAGGTCCGACTAAAAGACAGCTCGATATATTCCTTCTCACCGAGGCGATTTGCTTACGCGGAACGTCTCCAGATCAGGGACATCATAGATGACCTGCTGGCCCGCGGGATTGTGAAAACTAGCACCTCCCCGTACTGTGCTAGGGTGGTGCCAGTCCGTAAGAGGAGCGGGCAAATGCGGCTCTGCGTCGACTTGAGACCGCTAAACGCGCGAGTCGAGCGGCAGCGATACCCGTTCCCAGTTATTGAGGAGTGCCTGGCCAGGTTAACTGACAGGTCCATTTTTACGCTCTTAGACCTAAAAGACAGTTTCCATCAAATTAAAGTGCATAAAGTTTCGACGAAATACTTCGCGTTCGCGACGCCGGACGGGCAGTTCGAATTTAACAGATTACCTTTCGGTTTTTGCGAATCGCCCGCGGAATTTCAGAAGCGGCTGGTACAAATACTCAACCCGCTTCTCCGCGACGATAAAGTACTCGTGTACATGGACGACGTGTTGATAGCCTCGCGGTCGACCAAAGAGAATCTCGAAGACGTCGAAACGGTCCTTCGGACTCTGAAAAAATACGGGTTCGAACTGAATTATGAGAAATGCCAGTTTTTGAGAAAACAGATAGAGTTTTTAGGATACGTAATATCCGCGGACGGAATAACGTTAAGCCCGAGGCATACCGACGCGGTTAAAAATTTCAGGCAACCACGCACGGTGTTAGAGGTTCAAAGATTCCTCGGCTTAACTAATTACTTTAGGAGATTTATTAAGGGGTACGCGCAGATTGCGAAGCCCATACAAGATTTAGTAAGAAAGGACGTACCATTCGTTTTCGACGACCACTGTGTCGACGCGTTTCAGAAACTAAAGCAGGAGTTAACTTCACCGCCGGTGCTCCAGTTATACAATCCGGCCGCGCCGACGGAATTGCATACGGACGCCTGTAGCACAGGCTTAGGAGGAATTCTCCTGCAGAAGCAGAAGAACGGTCAGTGGTCCCCGGTAGCCTATTACAGCCAGAGCACGAATCAAGCTGAGAACCGGTATCACAGCTATGAGCTCGAGATGCTGGCAATAGTCAGGGCAATCGAGCGCTTCCATCTGTATCTGTACGGGTTGGAGTTCACCGTGGTTACAGACTGTAACGCGATAGTGTACGCGGTGAATAAGGCGAACCTCAACCCGCGAATAGCGAGATGGACGCTCGCTCTCCAAAATTATAGGTTCAAGCTGACTCACCGCCCAGGCAAACGCATGTCCCATGTAGACGCCTTGAGTCGTTGTACGGCTTACGTGCACGAGCTACCTCTCGAGCGGGAGTTAGAGCTGCGGCAGCTGACGGACCCTAAAATTTTGGAGACCAGCAAAAAATTAGAAATAGGAGAAGATAAGAAATTCGAACTAATCAATGGCTTAGTTTATAAGAAGGACGAGAACCAGAAACGCTTCGTGGTACCAGAGTCGATGATACCCAGTTTGCTAAGAGCTCACCACGACGAGATGGCTCACTGCGGAGCCGAAAAAACCGTAATGGGCATCTCAAAAAATTTCTGGTTCCCGTCCATGAGAAAAGTAGTCCACGATTACGTGGGGAATTGCCTTACATGCGTGATGGCGAATAGCGCGTCGAATCGATTCGAGGGCGAGACGCAGCTCGTCCCCCTGCCCGAGGCGCCGATGGAAGTGGTGCACGTGGACCACCTCGGCCCGTTGCCCGAGTCCGCCGACGGATTCCGGCACATCTTGGTAGCGGTCGATGCGTTCACGCGGTTCACGTGGCTGCATCCCGCAAAATCTACGGGATCGAAAGAAACAATTAGTTTACTTAAAAATATATTTGATACATGCGGCAGACCATCGGAGGTCGTGTCGGACCGAGGTACGGCGTTCACGTCGCGAGAGTTTAATGAATTTGTAGAAACGCAACAAGTTAAGCATCGGAAAGTGGCCGTAGCCGCCCCATGGGCAAACGGCATCGTAGAGCGGGTGAATAGATTCATCAAAACCTCGCTGATCAAATCCATAGTAGAACCGGCCGAATGGAAAACCCACCTCGGTAAAATACAATATATTTTAAACAACACTTATCATTCGAGCATAAGAGCGACTCCGGCGAAGCTAATGCTAGGATTCGACCAACGCAACCATTCGGACTTCGCGCTCGCGCAGCTCACCAGTGCGTTGGCGGAAGTCGAGTCGGACCTAGAACGGGAGAGAGAAATTAATCGCGATTCAGCTCAAGCCGCGACAAACTTAGTAAGGGAGTACAATAAAAAATATTCGGATAGCCGTCACAAAAAACCGTCGGTATACCGCGACGGCGAGTACGTGCTTATAAGAAACGACCGGAATAAACCCGGGGAAAGCGCGAAGATAAAACCCGGTTACAAGGGGCCGTATCAAATAGCGAAGGTGCTAGGGCATAACCGCTACGTTGTAAAAGACGTACCTGGATTCAGCCACACGCAAAAGCCCTTGAACACAATCCTGTCGTCTGACCGGCTTAAGCCCTGGATCAGGATCGGCAACCCTGTACCGGAAAACGACGAAAAATAGATACGCGTTAGTTAGATTAGGAATGTAATGTAACCTGAGTCGCAAGAGAACGAAACCTCGAAAGAAGGGATACGGGACTGAGAGTCTCGATAGAGGCACTCATTTGGCTCTTGCGAGTCAGGCCCATCCTTAGTTATAAGAGAATTTTATATGTAATTTGCGGAAGTAAATGTACCCGACTGCGTAGCCCGGCAAACGAGATCGCAAACAGATACCGGACTGAATACGCAACGCGCGGAGGTAATAAAATAAAATGCACTTACCTTACCTTACGAATAGCCAATCCGAAGCGGAGAACCACTGGCGTGTGCGCAGCAACTTCGAGACGCAGTTGCAGGCCAGAATGGCCGAACTGTAAAGCCTATCACACAATACCAAGCAACAGGCAATAGGAATAGGGAATAGAATTTTTGACGCGTTGGATTCGTCGGAAATTTTCGTTCAACCAATTCAACGCGTCAGAAATTCTATTCCGTGTTCCTGTTGCCTGTTGCCTGGCATTGTGTGATAGGCTTAAGGTATCGGGCGGTAACGCGCCTGCGCGCCGCGGCGGCACAGCGGAGCACACAGCGCGCCACCAGCGCGGTCCGAGCAGCCCCACTTAGCGGGCGATTCGAAAGCGCATGCGTGGCGAAGCGGAGCGAGCGTACGGACTCCACGCGCGAACAAGGGGACTCACTCTCCTCCGAGAAGAGATCCCAGGCAGAAGGAAGCCGAAACCAGGAGTATCTCGAGAGTCTTTGTAGTCTCGCGCGCGAGTCTTATATTTCGCCGTCTGAGTGTCGGTTAAGTAGTTTTGTAAATTCTTGTACTATTCATTTATTTTGTTAAATATATACATCGTTAACTAGTGCTACGAATCTGAATAGTTTCTCTCAGTCGAAACCGCCCAACCTGCTATCCTGAGCGATTTTCCTCGGTACTATCCTTTCAACTATAAATGTGAGTATATCTTGATTAAAGTTGAAAAAACCTACTTCGCATAAAGCTGCAGTGTCAAGTGGGGACCAATTTTTCATTCCACCAAGTGTTTCACAATTAGTAATCCATTTAGTTCTTCTTATGGAATCTCTTGGCAATCTGTTCATTTTGACGTTTTGTCTAGACGAATTTTTACATCCTTCTACTGCACAACCCGGCATCTTTCCAACTCAGATTTAACATTTAGATGTTTTTTAAGCTCCTTCCCATTATAATAAACTCATTTTTAAATATAAATATATATATTACCTTTAGAACTACGTAAAATGTATACATATATGTATGGGAATACAGGAAGTTGTTCTCACTATGGCGGAGCCAATCAGCGACAAGCCCCTGTATCGGCCACACTCTCCCTTGACCCACTCTAGCGTGGCCGAACGGATTATCCCCACTCCAAGTTGGAGGGGATGATTGGAGGGGACGTGTGCACACGTATTGGAAATGTGAACCGAATATTACCGAATCTCTCCGGAAAGAGTCGAGTCAGACGAGTGATCCCCTTACCGCGATTATCAGTTACCCCTCGTACAAAGGGTCCGTCTATAGAAGTCTATGGAGCACACTTGAAAGCATGTAACCGGTATAGGAGTGTCCCGACCTGTGTATAAGACCGTGACCGTAGTTTTTGTAGTGACAGATAAAGGTTATGGACGTTATGGATGCATGTTACAGATAAAGGTTATGGATGCATGTTATATATGTTTATAGCCGCCATATTGCTGATTGTGCGATTTGGTCATGCGCGAGAGACAATTATTAGTACGCTTTTTGAAGGAGTGAGGCTGGATTCACATGGAGCGTAACTTGCGTAGCGTAACCTGCGTATCACCAATCACCAAGGGTCATTCTGATAGAACCGTTTCAATAATTCCGTTGAACTAGTCCTGTGATTGGCGATACGCAGGTTACGCTACGCAACTTACGCTCCATGTGAATCCACCCAGTGAGAAATTATTCGTCGATCGATGTCAAAGCGATGTCGAATCCACATTGATACCGTCAAATTGACGTCGATTCGACATCGTTTTGACATCGATCAACGAATCATTTCTCACTGGGCAGCCTGAGGCTGCGGTCCCATGGACTGATATTTCTCGCGCACGGTCTTACATACAGGTCTTGCAACTCATATGGTGGGGGTAGGTCGCTTAGTGAAGAAATTTTGTAGTTCTTGTAATGGCCACTTTTTTTTGTTTTTCGGCAGGAAGTGGAAATGGCTCGGACCATCGTCCTTCCAGGCCGGCCTGGAAGGATATGTGGGGCTTGCACCCACTAAAACCACTCCCTCGATGACCACTCTGGGTCGGCGTCGAGAGCTGCGAACTGCCGAAGCATACTCCAGCCCTCGACAACCCTCGCGACATGCGCCCGAATTGACTCGAAAACTCAAAGTACATTGCGTACAAGATGCAAACCTAGGTGTGTGAGTTTTCCCATTTAGACCAATGGTTGGACTCACCGCTGCGCTATTGATACCACGCAGAATCCCAGCACTCGGGATCGCACTCCTGCGTCCCAGAAGGAAAGGGAGAAGGACCCGAGAACATGTGACGAACGGTTCTCTTCTATGCGACGACTAAGTTGCACCCACGCAAGAATAACACGCGGCTAATCAGCCACCCAAGCCAGCCGATCGCGCGGAAGATAGGAACGCGCGCGATGCGGGTTTACACGCCCATCCCATCCCCACGCTACGCTACGGTATTCACGCGGATGCGTTGTCGCAGCCGGTGCTCTTCACTATCCTGAAGTCCCGGCACTCTCGCTTAGCCCGCTCCTCATCCCATTGCCCGTGGAAGCTGACATGTTACTTGTCGTCCGCATTCAGACGCACCTTAAGTGTCTGTCCAGCTGTTGTTGGAACAGGGTTCTTCCTCAGCGTCCTCAACCCACTGAGGTCTTCTCATTAAGTCGGTCACTTCTTCATCTCATCATGTAAATGGGGGAGGGGGGGGGGGTCGCGGCCATCACCGACTCTCTCAGTGAGAGGGCGGGAGGCCACGGCCCCAGTTAGCCGACTCACCAGTTTTCAGATTAGACTCTAAGATTAAGATTAGCCGATATTATCCAACCAATCATCCGAGTCTGCCTCCCTTGTGGTGGACGGTCCTGGTCTTGGATCTCCCTCGTCCTCCGCTCCCGCATCCTTCTCCAGTCTCCCTCGCTGGCGCTGCATTTCCGCCTCCTCCTTCCTCGCCATCACTCTCTCTGCGAAGAGAGAAAAGGCGACCCAGTTTTCACGGCTTCGCGAGATCCGCCCCACTATGGCTGCCAATGACAAGTCCGCTCCAATGACCGAGGTCAATTCTGCGCGTTCGAAGTTCCAAGTCACGCACTCCGTCATCGTATGCTCAGGCGAGTCAATATATTCCTCGTCTGCCTCCACACAGTGTGGGTAGACAGCAGTTGTAGCCCTTCTTATTCTCCTAAGATAGGTTCCGAAACATCCATGGCCGGTTAATAATTGTGTCATCCTGAACGTTATTTGGCCATGAGTGCGATCCATCCACCGATCGAAATGGGGTAGGATCGCAAACCTAGTCCCAATCCCAGACACTTCAAGAGATCTCAATCGTGACCTCCACTCCTCCCTCACCCTCAGTAGGCTTGTGGTCCTGATCTCCGCCGCAGTCTCCCTGGACCATGTTCCAGCCGTTCGGGTCTCCCTGATTTCCCTGAACACCCTGTCGCGATCTGCCAGTAGAATATCCAAGGGCGGCACCCTTACCAGCAATGTGGCAGCGTCAAGTGAGACCGTCCTATACGCAGCCGCCACACGCAGTGGGGTGACCTTCTATTGGACACGTAACGATTGGACACCGCTCGATTAGACACGCACTATTGGACACGCATTATTGGACACCAAAATCATTGGACACCGCATTATTGGACACAAGCATTATTGGATACCGCATTATCGGACACAAGCATTATTGGACACCGCATTATTGGACACCGCATTATTGGACACCGCATTATTGGACACCGCATTTTTGTACACCGCATTATTGGACACAAGCATTGCAAGATTGGACACTGCATTTTCGGACACCGCATCATTGGACACCGCATTATTGGACACCGCATTTTTGTACACCGCATTATTGAACACAAGCATTGCAAGATTGGACACTGCATTGGGATTGTCCTGATTGCACACATAACCGATCGGACACGGCAATATTTCCTGATCGGACACATGCTCGATCGGACACAGGTCCGATCGGACACATTTTGTATCGGGTTTGCGTATTTCTGTAAAGCACAATATTCTTGTGGGTGTATGGACTTACAAATGATGGAAAATTATCTGCTTTACAGAACACTTAACCTGGGTTAAATATATATAAATATCCCGACCCATCTAGAGATACAGTTTGCCTTAAATTTCATGTTATAAATACTTGAAAACCCATTAGAGTGTCCGATCGAGTCCGTGTCCGATCGGGAAATATTGCCGTGTCCGATCGGTTATGTGCGCAATCGGGACAACCCCAATGCAGTCCAATCTTGCAATGCTTGTGTTCAATAATGC